CTCCTCAAATCCAGAACTGACACTATCATTAACAACCAGAGGAGTATGCTCAGTGACAGGATGCTACTCCTCACATCCAGAACTGACACCGTCATTAACAACCAGAGGAGTATGCTCAGTGACAGGATGCTACTCCTCACATCCAGAACTGACAGACTTAGGAATTCCTTTGTCCCTCATGCCATCGAACTGTTAAACTCCTCATTGGGGGGCAGGTGGGGGAACAGCAGGGGGGACAGAAGGACATTTTATTGACTTTACAATAGACCACATGATTCTGCAATTAACCCGTGCAATAATCATTTATTCTTACTATCATCCCCCCGCTATTTATTACTCTTTCCTATATTATAATCTTAGATTTTTTGAAACGTACTGCCGTACTGCTATGTGTGACTGTACTATTAGGCTGATGTATTGTTGCTGCTAGAAAGTGAATTTCCTGGAGGAACCTTCCCGAGGGAATAATAAACTTGATCTATCTATCTATTGCTGGTTCCCCTGCAGCCCAGTCGCTGTTGGTACTAACGGTGGACTGTTCCGCTTTTATATGTGTTTCTTTTGATTGTATGAGCGGAATATTAAGGGTCCATTCTGTGATGTGTCAGACCACTGAAACACTAAATTTGAATTAAAGTTTATGCAAGATACAGATAAAGAAATATGAAACGGGTGTTTGTGTCTAAAGGAATTTGTCTGTGGGAGAATTAGGAGAAACCAAACTGAGAGAGAAGCACAGGGTGAGCAAATCCTCAATGTGCAGAGAGTTGTGCCAGGTGGGGGAAGCTAACACATCTAAATGTTTCTCAGTAATTAGTGGTCACCGAGGCAACCTGTGATGTAGATGATATTTATATATCCTGTTTTTTATGATTAAAATGACTACTTTTACAGGTGTTGGATTCAGAATTGGATATCTGGCTCGGACAATAGGAAGCACCACCATCATCATAGCTGTATGCACAGGTAAGTTTAATTATCATTAATGTATATCCTCCTGAGACCCAAGGAAAAAAGTGTCCTTCAATTTTAGGTTATTGAGGAAATGGCATGTTACAATTTAGATTTTTTAAATTTTATTTTTAATTTCACTGCATGTCCTCTTTAGTGTACAACAGGAATAACTACGTTTCCTTCCATCAGTGAAAAGATAGATGCAAAAACAAAATGCCCACTACAATGGACATAAATGAATGGGTGGGGTCTCAGGAGGTTACGAAACATCAGCAGTAAATCAGGAGAAAGTAGCAGTTTCTGGTAAAATATTCAACACACTGTCAGGGCTGCCAGCTTTGAGGAATTTGTTGGAGTGAGATTTGGAGTGATGTGGAGTTCGGGGGGGCATTAGGTAAAAACATAAAATGGTAAGGAGCTACATCTTTGTTTGTATTTACCAACATTACACATCACTTTG